GTTTAGCATACTTTCAGTTGATCCAGGCTGCAAGCAGTTAACACATATGGTGAAAGTTTGAGAGGTTTCCCGGGATTCTTCACCTTTAGTGGGCCCAGAAGTCTACCCTGTGCTTCCCAGTTTGTAATTCAGCACACATGACAGGGAGAAAGTGCTACAAGATGATGTCAAAACCACCAATGAACTTGGAACTTCAACAAAATACCTGAAGCCTCTTTTCCTTGACTTGTTAATAAAGGTCTAATTATTTCAAAGCTTTAAAATTATACACCTGTAGTGATTAATGTTCACTGTCAACTTGGCAGGATTTAGAATCACAATGGAACTACCTCCAGATATAACTATGAGGCTGTTTCAAAAAGCTTTAACTGAGGGAGGGAAGACCTACCCTGAATACAGATGATACTGTCCCACTGCTGGGGTGCCTGAGGGAATAGGAGAAAGCTCCCTCAGGTTCCTGCTGCCATGCCTTCCCTGCTGCCAAAACAGACTGTGTCCCTTTAAACTGTAATCTAAATGAGCCTTGTCCACTCATGGTGCTTTAAGTCAGCTAAATGTTTTCATTACAACTAGAAAGTAATGCAAAGTCGCACAGCTTTTTTGCAGAAACCTAGTGCACCATTAATGGCAGTAACTACCCTGCTCTTTAACACAGAACTGACAAAAGTTTGCCTGACTCTAATCTGCTATTGTTAGCAAGGAGACTGAACATTTGACATGTACCCAGTCTTTACCTAAGTGAAATCCCGAAAATCAAATGCATTTAGTGGACTTGGGGAGGAAAATCACTAACAGTGGCTTTTAATTGACTAGTCATGTTACTTAATCAGCACCTAAAACACCGTTTACAGAATATAGAGGAATGATTTAACTTTATGTTTTACAGAGATAATTTTACTATTTGCAAACTTCAAAGGTATGTATGTTGGAGCTACCAATGCTTGGCTGAGGCTGTATATAATCTTGTCTCGTTTATGCCCTTTAGGAAGCTCCCTGAAACAAATATAAAAAAAAAAATTAAAAGTGATATGCTATCAAATTAAAATTTCTCTGAAGATAAGGTAACAATAACGATTGCAGGATTGATGCAAAAACAGCTAAATTTGCACGTGACAAAGGCTGGGAATGCCTCTTAATGGTATCTGTGGTATGCTACACACCAGAGCAGCAGTTGGTTTCAGATTACCCATCTTCCCAAGCAGAGTTATTATATCCAAAGCTCTATTTTATGTTTTTAGTTGTTTTAGACATTAAATCAACCTATAACTAATATGAAGCTACCAATACTTCACAATTAGTGTATCACACTTACTATCCTATTCCTCAATGTGTCACTCACACACAAATGCATAACAGACACAACATGCAAGACACCATCTTATCCTTATATATGTCTGTGTTGTTTCAAAAACGAGGAGTTACCATGACATTAGGAAAGAAAACTTGAAAACATTCTCATTCCTGAATTATTTCTTTAACATCTTCAAACGATATTATTGATGCCTTAATGAAAACAATTAAGATATTCAGCCCACTTCTACTCTCTAGCCTACAGAAGTCTTCATGCCACTAAGAGGGTACAGAAAATAGAACGGTGGCCTCATTTCCCAAATCCTGAAAGTCCTATTGGAGGAAGGATGTGGGAATTAAAGTAAACCCTGTAGGAACTGTAAGTTTTGCTTGAGTTTGGTGTTTTCACTTGTACAGTATCTCTGTCAAGAGACACCTTTTGTAAACACTTAGGAACACAGAGCATTGACAGACTTAACAATTTGTCACAATGTTAGAAGTAGACTAAGTGCCACCATGTTCAATAAATTGGAGTTCTATGCTTTCTTAAAAACATATCTCAAATACTAAAAATTAGGAATTGTGCCTGATTTTACAGCATACATTTGGATTAGGAAAAGGCTATTAGGATTTTAAACAGGGAATTGCATGCAGAGTAATAAACGTTTTCAGACCTCTGTCTCCATGAATCCCAGTAATAAGAGTGGCACTTCCCAACTAAGTCGCTAGATCTGTACAGGGAACGTAAGGCTCAAAGACCTTATGCTAAGAGCCAGACTTCTCTGTTTCTAGTGTACTAAATATGGATTTAGGGTTTGGTTATACACTACCCTCTTTTTTTAAGGTACATTAAAGAACTACAGTCCCAGTGTTTTCCTTATGAATAACCATGTCAGCTGTCACTCCGTTATACGCTCAACATTTAATCTAAGTTATGTTCAGCAGCTTGGTTTAATTTTGCATGGTTTGGGGATTTTTTATTTTCTTTCAAGTTCTTAGCTGAATGTAAAAGTCAGATTTTTTGTTCATGAAGAGTTAAGTTAGTGGAAAACAGAGGCAGAGATTAAATCAGGGGGAATCACTGATCAAGGGTGCTTGGAATTCTTATGAATACAAATAACCCATCAAGGTTAATGAGGTTCAACCTGAGTTTAGAAGAAGGGGGAAATGCTCTTATTTCGAATGCATTTACAGATTGAAGTTCCAAGGGAGGATGTGAAGCAAAGATTACACAAACTCAGGCCCACCTTCCTTCCAAGAGACATTTTCACTGTCATCTCCCAATATGAAACAATTGCTTCAAATACCTATTCTCAATACAAAAGCTAAGGCAATAGTTGGACAAAGCAAAGATTGACAGCTCCTACAGAAACCAATGTGCTTCCAAGAAGTGGCTCTGAACACTTGAGGACCCAAGTTCAGATCCCCAGGACCCACGTAAAAGGCTAAAGACAAGACCACTAGTGCTTGCTGAACTCTAGTCCAGCTCTGAGTTCAGTGACCCTTTCTCAAGGGAATAAAGGGAAAAGTGGTAGAACAAGATACTTGATGCTGTCTACTAGCCTGGGCACATATACCTACATAGACACATATGCATATCAGAAACATACACACATACACACACACCAAAAAACATTCACAAACATATAAACAAGTATATACACCACACAGGTACACACACACACATGCACATGCACACAAGCAACTAAAGGAGACTAATTTCTATTTGGTTACAAAGTACATAAGGCAACAACAGTCTGACAGACCCAAATTATCTAACATTGTTTTAAATGTCCAGAATCTAAATGACATTTGACTATATTTCAGAGGTAGTCTCAACTGTCAGGAGTCACAACTCAGAGATCTAGATCCTCTACTTATCAAAGAGACAATACTATATATCACTGTGAGAACAGAACCACAAGGTATGAAAAACAAACAAGGCATAATCAGAAGTGTTGCTAAATCCAAAACAACTCAGAGACGTTTAATTCATTTGATTGTTAAAAGTTAAGAAAAATCTTATAATCCCAGCACTTAGATTGCTAAGGCAGGAGTTTGAAGCCTGGGCTATATAGTGAATGTAAGGCCACTCTGGAATACGAAGACAGACCATGTCTCAAAAGGAGGGGGTGGAGTGGAGGAGCAGAGGAGCAGGGAGCTGGAAAGTAGAACTATTTTTCCTGGACATGAATACTACCTCTTTGCAATGTCTTCTTAAAGGCATTGAGATGGACACACACACACACACACACACACACACACACACAAACAGACATGACAATGTTTCAAGAGCACCTGAAATGAAACTGACAATGAGGAATACTGGTATGTGATTGTAGGCTTCTCCAATTGCTTTGCAAACCAAACCCAGTCCTAACCTAACCTATATAAAAGTCATTCCCAGGGATTATTACTAAGTGAGAAAGAGAGAAAGTCAGGCTCCTTGAGACCACTAGTAAACTTCTCTAAACCATTTTTAAATGTCCATAGATTTCCGGACTTCCTCCCACTGCCCAATTTATATAATAAAAATATAAAAGAAGAACTGGGGGAAGGAGAGAACAAAGAACTAGCTGAGATTAAAACTACAGCAGTAATTTGTTATGTTTTACCTTTGATATTTGTTATTTTGTGTTAGCTCCACTTAACATCTGTGAAATAACCCTATTTTGTCACTTTCATCAGCAGGACCAGGGGCCACACTAATACCCGTGAAGCAGATTTTAGAAGTCATACTGTTGCACTGGAGCTATTAGTGGTGTTTATTAGTCATCTAGAAAGCTTAGGAACGAGTATGCCAATATTTATCTTTGCTATCTCCATGATCTAAATCTTGAATGAAATCTAAACGGTATTTTTAGTGACGTTTTGACAAGATAAAAGAGAAACTCAGACTGAAGAAGCATCAGTCCTTCCTTGGGGTTATATAAAGTTAGGAGCTGTGAGCATCAATTTTCTACCTATCATTATAATTATGGAAACTCTTCAACTGGGCAACTTATTAGAAGAGAACTGCACTAATAAACAGATGCAGGGGGAGAGCTGATACATATCTATTTCCAAATGTGCCATCTATGTTTGATCTAATTTGCATAATTATTATTAGAATTAAGTTATTTCCTTTCATGAGGTCCTTTTCTTTGATTTTTAATATATTCTGATAATTACCTCATCTATGCTCGATAAAAGACACACAGGAAATGGCAGCTGCCTGCTTTTGCTTCATTCACAGTTACCACATATTCATGTGCACCCGGTAATTCCAGCTCCTGGAGGCATCACAGCGCTACCTCAAGCGAACAGCTACGGCTAGGAGAACCTGAAGCGCTCCAAAGAAGAGATGTTGCTGGGTTCTTTTCTGTCTGCCATCCACCACATTCATCCCCAAAACAAATCACTGCTATCGCAGAGAAGAAAGCCCTTCCTCCATGTAAGACCAAAAGTAACTTCAAGTTTAACAAGAGAAAAGGCTTTTGCTAATGAAATAATGAAGAGAACTAATAAAAAAACCTCATTTTTAGAGACCCGAAAGAAAAATCCAAGCCCTAAGGAGGTGCTGTATAGGAGTCAAGTAGTGGTAGCTTCATTTTCTATCATTCACCTCCAAAACTACCCATCAAAATAATACGACTTCTGATTACAATTTCTTTAAGCAGTTCTGGTAAGTAAAATTGTCTTGAAAATAGAGAGTAAAGAGAGGACATCACCTCTATCTTTGTCTCCAGTCTGGCTTTCTCCTGGTCTTTCCGTTGCATGCACCGCTTCACTTCCTCTAACTCGGAAGCCATGGCGTTGAAGTTCAGGTGCACTCGCAGTTCTGCCAACTGCTTCTCCAGACTCTGTTTCTCCCGCTCTACTGCTGCACAAGTAAAGGTAAAGCTTTGCTTACTCTTCCTCCACAGGAGAATGCACTGTCCAACAGTTACTATCAAGCCTTTGTGTCTTCATGTCCTAGCTCACATAATCCACAACAGGCATTGCAAATTTCTCCAAACTGTCATCTCAGGCTTCAGGATTCCCATACATTCATAAGCCCATGCCCCATGGCTACATACAGCATCATGCCCCATTTGGCTACATTCAAAATACAGTATCAATCAAAATGAAGTACAGTATCAAGTCTTACAAAGTTTTCAAAACTACGTAGGCACTTACGCCATCCTATTTTCTGACGTAGTAATATTTTCAGTGTTTCCTAATTTCTAATACAATTTATTACAGGAAACCCCTACACCTTTTGTTTACTACATTCCTTGCATGTCTCTATCACGTGCAAACTTTAAAGCCAAAACATTGAATTCAACTAGCTTACTATATAATAATGCTATTGAGGCTTACACAGGGAAATGTTGTTCATACATATGAACAATAGATGATTTTTTTCCCAATCTCTGTAAGACTGACTGCTGTTTCACTAATTCTCCAGAATTCTAAAGGCTAGACTTGAAATTATGACACTAAACAATATTTAATTCAATTAATTATTTAATTCAACACAAAATGCTTGATAAATTAGACATAGGACATTTTATCATGTTCTTCACATATGAAAATGGTTAACATAAAAATCCACTGACAGATAAAACAATACAAAGAATCAATAAGACAAAGAGTTGGTTCTTTGAGAAAATCAACAAGATAGATAAACCTTTTTCTAAACTAACCAAGGACAGAGAGAATATCCAAATTAACAAAATCAGAAATGAAAAGGGGGACATAATAACAGATCCTGGGGAAATCCAGAGAATCATCAGGTCATACTTCAAAAACCTGTACTCTACAAAATTAGAAATTTTAAAGGAAAAGGACAATCTTCTGGATAAGTGCCACATACCAAAATTAAATCAAGACCAGATAAACACATAAAATAGACCTATAATCTATGGAAATAAAAAGTCATCAAAAGTATCCTCACCACACACACATACAAAAAAAAAAAAAGCAAAGCCCAGGGCCAGATGGGTTCAGTGCAGAATTCTACCAGAACTTCAAAGAAAAGCTAATCCCAATACTCCTCAAATTGTTCCACACAATAGAAACAAAAGGAACATTGCCAAACTCTTTTTACGAAAGTTACAGTTACTCTGATATCCAAACCACACAAAGACACAAACAACTAAGATAGAGAATTACAAACCAATCTCCCTTACGAACATTGATGGGAAAATACTCAATAAAACACTGGCAAACTGAATTCAAGAACACATCAGAAAAATCATCCACCACGATCAAATAGGCTTCATCCCAGGGATACAAGGATAGTTCAACCTATGAAAATCCATCAATGTAATCTACCATATAAACAAACTGAAAGGAAAACAATCAAATGATCATCTCACTAGATGCTGAAAAAGCCTTTGACAAAATACAACACCCCTTCATGACAAAGATCTTGGAGACAGCAGGAATACAAGAAACATACCTAAACAAAATAAAGGCAACATACAGCAAGCCAAAAGCCAATATCAAACTAACTGGACAGAAACTCAAGGTGATCTCACTGAAATCAGGAACAAAAAAAAAAAAGGGAAAACAATCAAATGATCATCTCACTAGATGCTGAAAAAGCCTTTGACAAAATACAACACCCCTTCATGACAAAGATCTTGGAGAGAGCAGGAATAAAAGAAACATACCTAAACAAAATAAAGGCAACATACAGCAAGCCAAAAGCCAATATCAAACTAACTGGACAGAAACTCAAGGTGATCTCACTGAAATCAGGAACAAAAAAAAAAAAGATAGCCAAACAATCCTGTCAATCCTGTACAATAAAGGAACTTCTGGAGGCATCATCACCATTCCTGACTTCAAATCTACTATAGAGCTGCAGTAATGAAAACACCTTGGTGTTGACAGAAAATAGACAGTCGGACCAATAGAATCAAGTTGAAGACCTGGCTATCAATCCACATACCTATGAACACCTGATTTTGACAAAGACGCTAAAATTATAAAATAGAAATAAGAAAGCATCTCAACAAATGGTGCTGGCATTACTGAATGTCAACATGTAGAAGAATACAAATAGATCCATATCTATACCCATGCACAAAGTTTAAGTCCAAATGGATCAAAGACCTCAACAGAAAACCAACCACACTGAACTAATGGGGGACGTCCTCTGTATGGTGTGAATATATGTTTCTCTTATTGGTTGATGAATAAAGCTATTTTGGCAAATGGACAGGCCAGATGTAGCCAGGTAGGAAGTATAGGTAGGGCTACCAGACTAGGAGAATGCTGGGAAGAGGAACACAGAGAGTGAGTTTCCAGAGAGATGTCATGTAGCTGCTGAGAAAGCAAGAGGCTTGGGCATCACTGGAAAGCCAAGACCATGTGAAGATACACAGATTAATAGAAATGGGTTAACAATTAAAAGAGAGCCGGGCATTGGATGGTGCACACCTTTAATCCCAGCACTCGGGAGGCAGAGGCAGGCAGATCTCTGTGAGTTTGAGACCAGCCTGTTCTACAAGAGCTATTTCCAGGACAGCATCCAAAGACACAGAGAAACCCTGTCTTGAAAAACAAAAAATAAAATAAAGTAAAACAAAATAATTAAGAGAGAGCTAGCCAAAAAGAAGCCTGAGCCATCAGCCAAACAGTTTATAATTAATATTAGCCTCTGTGTGTATATTTGGTAATAAACAGCTACAGGACCAGGCAGGACAGAAGCTTCCATCCACACTGAACTTCACAGAAAAGAAAGTGGGAAGTCACCTTGAACACACTGGCACAAGAGACCATTTCCTAAATATAACACCAGTAGCACACACATTGAGAACAACAATTAATAAATGGATCTCTTGAAACTCAGAAGTTTCTGTAAAGCAGAGACTTTGGTCAACAAGACAAAATGGCAGTCTACAGAATGGGAAAAGATCTTTACCTCACATCTGACAGAGGACTGATCTCCAAAATATTCAAAAAACTAAAGAAACTAGACATCAAAAGACCAAAACCCAATAAAAAAAAAAAAATGGGATACAGATCTAAACAGAGAACTCTCAACAGAGGAAACTCAAATGGCCAAAAGACACTTAAAGGAAGGCTCAATATCCTTAGTCATTAGAGAAATGCAAATCAAAACAACTGTTATGTCTGTCAGAATGGCCAAGATCAACATCTCTGGTGACAGAATGCTGGACAGAATGGGGAGTAAGGGGAACACTCCTCCCTCCATTGCTGGTGAGAGTGAAAACTTGTACAGCCACTTTGGAAATCAGTATGGCTAAGTAACAAAGATTCCTCTGAATTCAACTATGATCAAAATCGAACCAAGCTGAGACTGGATTTCACTCTCCAATCCCCAGATTACAGGCTCCGAATATTAATTGTTCACATATTAAAAATCAGCTGAAAAAGAAAAGATAAAATAAAAGTACATTTATAACTCAATTACAAAGACACACATGTAATGAAGAGAAGAAACTGAAAACTTCACCACAACCTTTGGATGTCTTCTTTGACAATGCTCATGAGACAAGCACGTTTGACAATGGAAATGGGTTGAGAAATCAAGCAAAAAAGACATTCAAATCAGATTCTAGAATATGACCAACCTGTTGGAAAACCTTGTATATGATTAAGAAATTTGAAAAGGTTAGGTATGACATGAGGAGTGCACCTCTGGGGATGGGAAGCCACACAGCCAGCATCCAGAATTATACCTCTTCTAAACCTCCAGTCATCTCTTTGATCATCCTGCTGGTTTGACTGTTGCTTGGAAGTGTAAGATACTTGATGTTGTAAACCCTTCCGGTCACCTTCTGCTTTTGCAAGTTGTGTACGCAGTTCTTCCACCTAAAAGCATTTTATCACACATCAAAATGTTATCAATTTTCAAGAGCAGAAAGCAAATAAACTTAAAGATTACTATAAACTGTTTCCTGGGGGGAAAGTATCTGCCTCTAGTGGGCTATTGTGGTGCAAGACAAAGCCAGCTTAACCTTCAGGCTGTCCCACATGTAGAAAAGGCTTCTATTCCATGTTCTCAATCTGCCATTCCTTTCACAAAGAATGTCTTTTCCTTCCCTGTGTCCATAGTGACAAAAAACTTCAACACCTTTTACTTTTTTCCTTTGTAGTTCTAGGAATTTAACCTAAAATCTTTTTTATCAAAATATCTCTATTTCCAAATGATTATGACCATCTAGTTGTATCCATGGTCTGAGATAATTATTAAGTGGCTTTCAGGTTCAACATTATTTTGTATCTTGCAATAGCCTTGCAGAGAAAATCTGAGTTATGCAAATGGGAAGGTTACCACAGGATACTTGCACAATTTATTCTCAAAATGATCCAGTACCTTACTTTCTTTTACATCCTTGGACATTATCACTCCTTAACCTAAAGCGAAGATATGTCTACCTCAAGACCCAGCTATACCACCACTGGCATATATCCAAAGGATGCTCAATCATACTACAAGGATGCTTGCTCAACTACGTTCATTGAATGTTGTTTGTATTAGCCAGGACCTGGAAACAACCTAGATGCCCCTCAACTAAAGAATGAATAAAGAAAATATGGTATGTTTGCACAATGTAGTATTACTCAGTTGGTAAAAACAATGGCATCAGGGAATTTGCAGGCAAATGGATAGAATTATAAAAAAAAAAAAATCATCCTGAGGGAGGTAACCCAGACCTAGAAAGACAAACATGGTATGTACTCACTCATAAGTGGACATTAACTGAGAAGTAAAGGATAACCGGCTACAACCCATAGACCCAGAGAGACTAGGGAACAAGGAGGGCCCAAGGGAGGAAGGAATGCACAGATCTCCTAGGAAGGGGAAATCGAGGAGGTCTCCTGGTTGGACGGGGGGATGGGCATAGAGGGAGAATGTGGAGAAAGATACCTGGAAAGGAGGGCTTCATGGAGTGGGAAGAAGCCTGATGGAAACTTCCAGGGCTCCCAGAACCTTCATAAGTCAAGTGTGCTACCACTACACAACATCCTAATCTCGGTAGTGTAAGAATGCCCCCATAGGCACATATATCTGAGTGCTTAAAGAGTGGCATTAGGAGATGTGGCCTTGTTGAGGTAGGCGTGGCCCTGTTGAAAGTGTGCTACGAGGGGCAGGCTTTGGGGTTTAAAATGCTCAAGCCAGGCCCACTGTCTCTCTCTTTGTGCTGCCTTCTGATCTGGATGTAGAACTATCAGCTATTTCTCCAACACCATGTCTGCCTGCTTGCTGCAATGCTCTCCTCCATGACAATGGACTAAGCCTCTGAAACTGTAAGCCAGACCCAATTAAATGCTTTCCTTTAAAAGAGTTGCTGTGGAGCCAGGTGTTGGTGGTGCACACCTTTAATCCCAGCACTCGGGAGGCAGAGGCCAGCCTGGTCTCCAGAGCTAGTGCCAGGATAGGCTCCAAAGCTACACAGAGAAACCCTGTCTCGAAAAACCAAAAAAAAAAAAAAAAAAAGAGTTGCCATGGACGTGGAGTCTCTTCACGGCAATAAAACTGACTAGCACACTAACTAAATTTTAATTTTTTTTTTAACTTTTTCTTTCAGTCAGTCAGGCTTTTCTTACATATCCCAGTTACCTTTCTGCAGCAAGCCTCCTGCCTCAGATTCCTGAGTTTTGAGATTACAGGCATGTACTATCATGTCTGGTTCCAATACATCTGTATTTGACCTCATTAATGCTCAACACCTCTAATTCATTTTTTTAATCTTCACCTGTTTTCTGTCATAAAAACATACTATGCTAGTGTTTAAACTCAATGGACTTAGCATATTATAATATCAAAACAGACCTCAGAAAATCGTAGACCACTGATGTTCTGACTCACAAGCTGCTTTATTCATCTTGATGTGTATACAAAGAGACTGGCAAATTTCCTACCACTAACAAATACACCCCCTACAACCAAAACCAAGTAAGCAAAAGAAAAGCAATTTGGCTAAAGTCACAGTGACAACCTGCAAAGAAATCTCTTGCATCAAAAACTTAAAAAAGATTACAAGTCTGCACTTAAAAATAAGAAATCAGCACAGAATTAAATACCAACATCAGTTCTGAACTCTTCCAACCTTAGTTCCTCGTGACCACTGACTGCAGAACAAAGTCAATTAGCATTCGAAAGGCTCTGCAGGCAGGTGCCATGGTACATCTTCAATACCACTGTGAGGTTGCAGAGGGACTTTTGAATGCCTATGACACTGGACACCATGGCCTGCAGAGCATATCATGTACTTGGAATATGAAACTACATGGAACAACAGGAGGAGGCATGGTCTGATTTAGTAAACACAGGGGGAATGGCAATTAGAAACACATCTGCCCTTGCCGGTGTACATAAGATGACCATCTAAAGCTACTCAACTTTACATATCAGAGGCCCCCAACTCCTACTAAGGCTAATGGTCCACAAAACATTACACCTAAAATATACGCCTCGTCTGTGGTTAAAAGGAGCCGGACGCATATTGACCACAAGAGCAAAGGCAGAGACGTAGTCAAAGTAACTTAAACATTCAAGGTCTGTTCAATGTATTTGCTCCTTCCTCTTTACTCTCCAATGCTTCCTTGAATGAAATTACGCTCCTGGGAAATTTTATCTTACTTGTACACTGTTCTGCTGAGAGAGATAAGTAGAAAGTCAGAGCAGCAGTCAGCAAAATACATTGTCACAGCGGCAACCAGGGCTGGCTCTTCTTCGAGCTCTCCAAATCTTCCTGCCTGCATTCTGGGCTAACATACATGCCCTAGGGGAACAATTCTAGATCTAGACTTTTTCTTTTCCCTTCTCACAAAGACATTTGAGAGAGGAGACTCCTTCCAGATTTAATAAAACAGCAGACTGTCTTAGTCTGATAGACTCACCTGATGCATAAGTGTTTCTCTGTTGTCTTCAGATTGATTCAGCAGCCTGCGTGAGAGCTCCAATTCCTGTTCCAGCTGGAGTTTCAACAAGATAAAAACATGCAAAATGAGGCATAAATAACTGTGCCCAATGAACAAAATCCACCCAATGGGCCACAATTGAGAAGAGAATGGCAAAATAGTTTCCAGGAGATGTTTGCATTGAGTGGGAAAGGATGGGCATTTCACCATAAACACACATTTAACTCCCATTAACATTATGTTAAGTATCTACCATAAAGGGAGTTGCATAAAGCCCCCTAGAGGTCAGAGACCTCATCAGTTTCATCTTGACTATGACCCAACCCCCTACTCCCACTCCAGGCCTCAATTCATCTTTAAAATAGTCATTTTTACTAGTCTCTTGAAATCCCCATCCAGTACTTAATAATTTTAGTAAAACTCTGCTTTTTTGGACAGTTATGGACAACTTTACTAAATTAGAACAAAAACTACAGACATCTAATAATTCAAAGTCCATTTCACCTAGCATGACTTCTTATACTCCCAATACCCAAAATGTGTTCCTAAATTTTTAAATTTCAAAATTCAAAATGCATATTTAAAATTTCATTAATAATTTTGCCCCATGGAAAATATGGTCAGTTAACTGAGCACACATCCTAAAAATTCAGAATATACCTACTTATTTTCAGGCAAAGAATGCATCAAAAGGGAACATAAATTGTTTTGTTTTGTTTTGTTTTGTCTTTATGTAAAGTTTATATGTGCTATACCTGTTTATATTTTGAAACATAAAGTAATATAAGTTTTGTACTAAGGTGCTTTCAATTGCTTAAATGAATAAGTTATTTTAAATAATCATTTCACTCAAACAAACTATCACCTTTTAATGACTGTATGAATAGTGGCTGTGCATGGCAAAGAGCTTGAGGGAGTGTTAGTACAGAGCCAGTAGGCACCTAGAGAAGATGAAAATGGCTAGAGGTTTTCTCAGACACACAAACACATGGGCACTGCACTCAAAGATAGTAAGATATGTGGAACCACTGTGGCTTGGACTACTGGCAATTTCCTGGTTTGACATTCACTGGCAATTACATAAAAAGTATTATCATTGACAAAAAACAGAGTGAAAGGTACAAGAGACCTCTCTAAGCATTTTGTTTTGAATCTATAAGTATTTCGCAATGGTCTCTGCTATATGCATGTGTTTGTGTGGGCATGTGTTTACACAAGTGTGTATTTGTAGCCTTGTAAACATGGATGTTAATATCAAAGGTTACCTTTATATATCCACCACAATCACTTGCCACCTTGGTTTTTGAGACAAGGTCTCTCATTGAACCAAGAGATCTTCATTTAGTTAGACTGGCTGATCAGCAAGCCTGTGGGATTCCCCTGCCTCTGTACCTCCAGCACTGGGATTATTGGGGTGCACCATCACTCTGGGCTTTTATTTGGATGCTACACATATGAGTTTGGGCCCTTGTGTTTGTGTGGCAAACACATTACTGACCCACTTTTGTAGTTACCAAAGTAATTTTTATCGATTTATACAATAATTCTTTAGAACTATGCATGTAGCTAATAAAACAAAGTAAATGTAGTACCACCAAACCCATAAAAATATTAGAATTGTTCTCTTGAGTCTATGATGAAATAAAGAAGAGGAAAAAAAAATCACACTTCAGTGGAAATGACTTGGAAGTCAAGCAAGCCCTTACTGGTCAGAAACCCAACCTAACATCAACAGTCAACTTCCAAGGGGCAAACTCAATGGCTAATACATACTGTCTCACACAGAGGTGGTGTGGAAGCAAGACTAGAGGCTACAGAGAAGCAAGGGTAAAAAGGGATACTGCGCTAACAACAGGAACTTTCCTCCAAAGTTCCTCATCTTGGGCTTATTCTTCAAACTACTTATCTGAAAACTGAGAGGTTGTTTGGCCTCTGAATCACCTTTTAGAGCTAAGGTACTGAAATGTGTGTTCACAGATGTGGTATCTATCAAAGGGCCTAAACAACTAATGAGAATGCAGGGTGGGTGTTGTGGTAAGAAACGGCCCCCACAGACTCATAAATTTGAATGCATAGTCACCAGAGAATGGAACTATTTCAAAGGTTTAGAAGGATTAGGAGGTGTGGTCCTATTGAAGTAGAAGTGGCCTTACTGGAAGAACTGTGTTACTGGGTGTGGACTTTGAGGTTTCAAAACCCACACCAAGTCCAGTGTCATTCTCTCTGCCTACAGATCATGGCTCCCTGCCATGATGATAAAGAACTCTCTGAAACTGTAAGCAAGCCCCTAATAAAATGCTTTCTTTCCTATCATAAAGAAAATGAGTAGATACAAAATGTCTAGCCTTCACATAGTAGGACTTTCCTAACCACCTCCAGCAGTCAAGTTTTTTTCAGTGTTCTCCAAAAAGGAAATAGAAAGTTGATTCACCTCTCAAATGACATGGCAGCAAATGTGTGTGTGTGCTTTCAAGAGTGACGATAGAGCTATAAGCCACCTCATCTCCCAGCATGTTCCACAAATGATCTCAGGGACACTTTCCACAGTGCTCAACAAGTTTCAATGACCCCAACTACCACACTGATGGAAGGAAAACTTCCAAGGTCTTACTTGGCTCTTCTCATTTTCAGTTTGTCGCAGCTTGTTTTTTATGATGTCCTCACTCTCATCTGCTTTAGCTTCTTGTTTCTTCAGGGCCTACAATGGAAGCAAACGAGAAAGAACAGTGTATTATCCCAGAATATGCTCAAAGCTCAAAGCTCCCACTAGGATGCATTGAGGAAGGGTTCAGGAAAATAGTTAATTGCACAAAATCTGCAAATAAAATCCGGCTTGTTCATTCATTGAAGCCCTAGCAACATTCCAATGAGGATCAAATGAAAACAACTTCCTGATCTTTCTCATCATTTCCACTAGTTTCATGTTTTCTCTATCTCTGGGAATCTTACTACGCAGAGAGGATAAACTATTAACAATTGTCTTGGAAACAAAGTCTACTGCACATCATATTGAAGGTTGTCTTACTCATCTGTTGTTGGGAAAAGACACCATGAGCAAGGCAACTCTAATAAAGGAAAGCATTTAATTGGGGCTTGCTTATAGCTTCTAAGTCTTAGTCCATTATCATAATGGTGATACAGGTGGCACTGGAGATGTAGCTGAGAGAGATATCCTGAAACACAGGCCAAAAGAAAGAGTCAATGGGCCTGGACTGGGCTTTTGAAAACTCAAAGGACACCCCCCAATGACACACTTCCTCCAACAGGGCCACACCTCCTAATCTTCTAAGCATTCAAATAAATGAGCCCATTGGGACCATTCTTACTTAAACTACCACAAAGGATTACATAACCTGCTGGATTTAGATATAACACCATAAACTAGTCACTAGTTTTTCAGGTTCTAAAGCACACCATCCAATACATAAAAATATGCCCCTTGCATCACCATTATGCAGATGACATTTATATAAAACATGCCAGACCTGGACACATGGGAAGGGCCTAGGCCTGGCCCAGGATGATGTGGTAGACTTTGGGGAGCCCCTTTTGAGGGCCTTACCCTGCCTGGTGAGTGGAGGGGGGAATGGCTAGGGGCAAGTGGGATGTTGGGGGGGGAGGGAGAGGGAGAAGGGATTGACATGTGAAACAAGTTTGTTCCTAATTTGAACTAATAAAAGAATAAAAATAAATAAATAAAACATGCCAGACCATCCAAACTCTACTCTACCTGGAGAAATATACCCATTCTTACATAGTTTCCCCTCTTTAATGATAGAAGAAGCTTAAAGAAGATTCTTTTAAAAGCTAACCACAAAAATTTTGCCTGTGTTTATTTCTATGTCAAAAAGAAAATTAAACAAGGGAAAGACTTAAAACGGACTTTCATAATATCTAAACAGCACTCTGTTCAAATAAGAAAAAAAAAAAAGTCTGACCATTTTAGCACTTATATTTAGCAAGGTATATGTAAAGACCATACAAATTGAAGAAATGCAAACCACCTAAAGTCTTTTCGAACACAGCAGCAGGAAATAAGTAAATGTAGTAAAAAAATTGACTTTGATGTAAATATGCTATCATAATCCATTTCATCAACCTACATATTCAAATACATCTTAAATCTACTTCCTTTATGTCAAGCACTGTTCTAGAAGCTACTAGTGTACACAGGTGCAAAATACACATGACCCCACAACCCAGTAAATGAGCTCCCTCTCTCACTAATTAGTAAAATATATCTAGGCAAAAAAGCAGAGAAGCTTTATCAAATAAGCAGTAGTTTGCTGTGATAATAAACAATTTCATGGTGACTGATATGTCTAGGAAATCTTCTTACATATGTTAAACATGTTACATATATTTAAAGACAAAATTTAATCTTTATGATAATCCTATGTGTTATTAAGCTCATTTGAGCAGTAGGATATTGGGAAATATTCTGAACTAAATACCTACCCAAGAACACTCTCCTAGTTAGTGACAGAGGAATTGAGACTCAGGAAAGCCTGCCATTTAACCACTGAATGGCATTGCCTTTTCCATCAGGAAACAGTATCTGACAGGGTTGTAATACAAAGTAGCTGATATTCGTGAAGCATATAAATTAATGCTTGGCATATAACAAATATGCAATAAAAGCCAAAAATCAGTATTACTGATTTACTGAGAATGATGAAGTATCAAAACCATAATGTCTTTCAGGTAGCTTTCAAATTATTTGCTCTTTATTATAGGGCAAATAGAATTTACAACAATATTTAATTCTGTATATGTAATGCATTCAGTTTTGGATGGTGGAATATGTTTATAAATTTTTCATGAATAAAATCCTAAAAATCTGAAATTTTTTATTGGCACACTTATCTTTTCCATGATTGCATGGTCTCTTCCCCAATCTCTCTCTCTCTCTCTCTCTCTCTCTCTCTCTCTCTCTCTCTCTTTCCCTCTCTCTCTCTGTCTCTCTCTGGTGTGTGTGTGTGTGTGTAAGAGAGAGAGAGAGACATAAAAATGTGAAGGAAAGTGATATGAAGTTGTAACATTTTTAAATACTTTTCATTTAAAAGTAAAAGTAATTTCATATCTATATACAATGTATTTTTATTATAGTCCTCCCATTTGATTACATCCCTTCCTCCCCCATACAGTTTTTCAACATCACTTCTAAACCATCTTATTCCACAACACCTTCATTAAACTTGGGTTAATCATTTGTCTTTTTGTTAATACTTCTTCACTGGATTAAAAACCTGGTTGGTTTTTAGTTGGATGTTTGCACAAAGGGGATGATTAGGAAAAAACTTCTTGGGGATAAACAGCCTCCACTTCTGGATTCAAACCCCTGAGTAGGAACCTCTCCCTCCAAATGAGCCTACAGTGAAGGCTGGTCCAGGTCAGGTAAGATCATCTGAAACCACAACATGAAAAAGACAACGGGAATAAACAATTCTAAACAGACAAGACTGTCCTAGACACAGGAACCATTTCCTTCCAAAGCTGAGTTCAAAGTCAAACTGAGATGGCACTGTAACTCTAAGGAGTGGTGAAGGATGAAGTGACCTTCCAGAGATGCTCAGCATCCCTGGCCTCGGCTTACAGATGCAAGCAGGAATCGTCATCAGATGCTGAGCTTCAAAAACTTGACCTAACCTCATGCTTCAACTCTGAGTTTAATTTACGTAAAAACATAAACTCCCAAAATTCCCCTAGTGAAGAAATTTTCCAGTTCACCATCTGGAATTTATCCATTTCTTCCCTTTCCCAGGATTTCCAAAAATTAAATTTAAAAAATGGGACATTTAAGACTAAAAAAACATTAAAGATATTTGTTAACATTTCCCAAGTGTTTGCTCAAACACACTAAAAATAGTTATATTTATATATACACGTATACAAACTTATTTAGATGTATTTAAGGACACTTAAAATAAGATTATATTTATTTCAAAACAATCATCACTTATCAAGAGGCTTACATTGCCAAAGAGTAACAGAAAAGCTGTCACTTTATTAGAGTGAACTCTTCAGAAGACAAAGACCCTATCTGTCAATCACAGTGTTTTCTTTTTAATTTATTTATTATGTATACAGTGTTCTGCCTCCATGTATCCCTGCAGGCCAGAGGAGGGCACCAGATCTCATTACAGATGGTTGTGAGCCACCACGTGGTTGCTGGGAATTGAACTCAGCTCCTCTGGAAGAGCAACCAGTGCTCTTAACTGCTGAGCCATCTCTCCAGCCCCATACTGTATTTTTTAAGACAGTACTTGGCACATAGTAAAGCATGCTATGGGCTCCATAAATAAATATTCCTTTATACTCCCTGACATCACTTTGCAGTTGGCCAGGTATGTCCTTCACATATCAGAAACCTTTTCAAATTTCTCACACCTTTGATTTATTTTTAGTTGTGTGGATTTGTTTGTATCCTGCCTCATAATTAATGTAAATAGTTATTACTCTAGTTGGTATAAAACTCAGTAATCTTAACTTTAATAAAGTCATAAATTTAAAATTATCTTTTCAATTCAAATTGCCATATGAATAGGGTTATTTCTCTCAAATATACAGGAACATAAAATAATCTTGTACTTGTCCTTCCTAATCCACTTTCTAGTTCCAGCACTGGGTCACTTCTTTACAATAACACTTTTCAAAACCGATACAGTTTTCTGCTGTAGTCTACTTACTGCCTAAAACTTTACTCAATATTTTTTAATATCTCTGATAGTCCAAGGATATATAAGGCTTGGAGATTTCAGTCAATGGGATCCTTAAGTTCTATTGTTTCAGTAAACAGTACAAATACAAGGCACTGAGGGGTCATCAGAGAAAACCACTGCAATTCTGCTCCATCAAGAAATGCATCGCATCCAAACATCATCACTGCTTTCAGAGCAGCACAAGTCTATGGGCACATCAGCACAGGTGCAATATTCTAGCCTGGAATATTAAAGCAATCCTTCTACATTATGTAGTTCCGCCAAAAAGACGGGGAAATCAATACCATTTAGTCTGGATTGGGACAACTTCAACTTCTGAGAACAGATTAACGCTAAAAGACAAATATTTTACAAATAAACAAATCAAAACTGAGTCATTCTTTTAAGCATCAGCCATGAGTGTTAGTTAACTTGTTCACTAAGGCCGTACCAGATTCCATTTCTATTTGACTGAGATCAGGCAACTCAGAAGCACATTAAAACAGACCTGGTAAAAACGGTTATAAAAGAGGAGAAAGCATCGCATGCCGATGGGTGTCTGTAACTATGTTGTTCTGCCCTTTAAGTCTTGGTTTTCTCAGAGTGGCTTAGCCATAAAGCGACAGCCTGACCTGCTCCAGAATTCACATTGTCTGTAGAGTTTTAAGATCACAGGAATACCATAGAGCTTTAAGAGAGGGCCCTTGGGGCACATTTAAATCTTTAATAACAACAATTTTTCTTTTTTTTTCCTTGCCTATGCCTAGTTCCATTAAGAGGATGAACACATTGAATACTGAACTGTTACAGTCCTTTAGAGGCAGATGATTCTAAACATTTATTGTTATGTATTATTGTTATGTATTTACCAAGAGTGCAACCTTCCCTTTACTGAGTGGAGGGGAAGGGAAAAGAAAATGTGTGTGGAAACTCCTGCATCTTTCACAATAAATACATTTACCAAGCACCTCTAAATAGGTGACACGTTCAAATATGT